AGATTAGCGATATACCAAGGTAAAGCAAACTCCGCCACGGGTTCCTCGCGCTCGAAGTGAAACGTCATGTCCCTTGACTGGTCCACCAAATCGTGCTTCGTCTGCTGTGCCGGTGCCTCGAAGTACTCGAACTCGGACTGGTCGAAATCGTCGTTCGTGCTCCTTCGCTTGAGCAGGGGCTCTGGATTCCTGCTCGTGATATACGCCTTGAACTCGTCCATTGTCGTGGGTAGCCTGACCTCATTGCCGCGGTAGTCGCAGTAGAGGTCGTCGCCTTCCGCAATGCGCCAGCCTCCGTCACCTGAATCTGGTGGTGGTCCGCGATCGTCGACGCCCGTCCCGGGCTCGAAGTCCTCGTCGCTGACTTCCTCGGTCGTTGTAGGTGAGGCTGGTCGTACTGCGGGTGTCGTGGGTGCTGCTGTTGATGCCGCTGCGCCTGAGGAGGATGCTGTTGCGCCTGCAGTCGGTGGCTCGTAATGTGGGGGATCCAGGATAGGTCCCTCGTCTCGATCAACTGCTGGATCTGGTCGTTGACGTCGGTCTGTAGGTGCCGTTCGGTTCTTTTCTTCTTCCTCGTGGGGCAGCGTGCGATACTTGTGTGCTCGGTCGTCGTCGTGAACTCCGTCATGTTTTCTTCTTCTTCGTGGTGCTCTTTCTTCTTCTTCAGGAGGGGGTACCGCCGCTGGTGCTTCAGGTACTCGGTCTGGTTGTGGAGGTGCCGGAGGTGCTGGGTTCATGTCCATGTCTCCTGGCACTTCTACTTGATCACCGTCGTCTTGGTCTTGATGACGCTGCTTGAAGAAGAACTGCACAAATGATATTTTCCACCAATATGCCTCTGGCCGCTCATCTTCACAAAGAATTCGCTTCCAGTCCACGTAGGTACTGCCATACTGAATCGTATAATAGCGTACTGATGAATGCTTATACCACCATATCAGGAATGAACTTGGCATTTCTGGTAGATTTTGAAGATGATGCATGCCACAGCCAATCCGTGCTCCAAGACAATGTCGTACTCCTGCCAGAAGTGCTAGATGGATGATGGCGCTCCACAACTTGGGATACTGTGTGGTACTGCGTGTAAGTTCCCATCGTCCTGTCGCGGATACACACCAACCAAATCGTAACACCGCCCTTGAGCAGGAGTCTGCAAACTTGGTCACCTGTGTCATGACTGTGCTGATGCTCGTGATACTGCTGTCCTGACTGCTCGCAAAATGGAGAAACTCCAAGTACAGCGCCTTCCTGACGTCCGCGATTCGTACCGACATGGGGCGTCCTTGCCATTTACAATGTACAAGTCCGTCTCGCATATCTGACATGTCCGTGATCTTGCATGGTCCAATCCAGTTGGTGATGCCCTTCTTGTCGGTCTTCCTCAAGATGTCCACGAAGTCTCCAACCTGCAATTCGAGACCCTGTCCTGAGGTCCGCGTCTGAGACTCCAGAGCTCGCTGTACTCTTGCTGTCGCCGTGGCTTCCACCATTGCCGTGTTCGCTAGTTCGCGTATGCGATGAGCATGTCGGGTTAAGCCTGGTAGTCCTCCCACGTCGTCCTGCAGGGGTGCTGCGCTCACTTGATCAAGATCTTGAAGCTGTGCTGGTTGTCGTCCGTAGAGCGCTTGATAGGGAGAGAAACCACCAACATTCAACAACTGATTGTGTGCCATGAAGGCCTCCGCCACGATGTACTCGTCCGGTATGGCCGTGTCCAATTCTTCTGCTTGAGACTTGATGCGCCGTATGGTGTTGCGAACTATCTCATGGTGTCGTTCAACGATGGCTGCCTTGGAACCCACTGGCTTGGCTCGTCTTTGAATCTGATGTTGATCACAATAAATACGAGCTTCGTCTGATTCCAGGGCTCCTTCTTGATCTGCAATAAGATGCTGAGGTGGTCCGTGTATCGTGACCCAGGTCAGGTGAATCACGCGTAGAATTTCTGGGGGTTCTTTACTGGCTGCAACACCGCCTCCAGAAAACCTCAAGCATTCGTCGATAAGGTGTACCACAATGAGTTCACCCACAAACAATAGGTCCACCTGTACGTACTCGTTGAACGTGAGTGACAAACGCATGGTCGGCATGTTCTTCGGCGCTGGCCGCTGCCACATCCGACACGCCCTGCAGGTGTCCACGATGTCGTGCGCCATCTTGCAGACTTCCATAGGCACGCCGGCGTTCTGCAGCATCCTGATCATGTCGTGTGCCTGCGCGTGCCACCATCTGATATGAAGTACTCGTAGAGTTCGCCGTACAAGATTCATGTCTGCCGACTTGAGTTGATGCAATGCTCGTCCCAGGTCATACGGTGACCATGTCCGCATATCTGTCATGGTAGGTAATCCGTCGCCCTCGTTCTGCGCACCTCCTGAGCGAAATCGTTGTAATTCACCGCTGCCGGTTCCACCACGCTGTCGTGGCGCATCCGCCAGCCGCAAACGTCCTTCGCCTTCTGCTGGTGCTGCTGCTGCTGCGGCGGAAGCCGCTGGTGCTGGTGCTGCTGCTGCTGCTGCGGGAGCCGCCGGTGCTGGTGCTTCAGGAGGAGGAGGAAGCGGAAGCTCCAGTCCTGGGTCGGGATCCACTCGATTGGCTGCTGTGGGTTCGTCATGGAGACGAGGTCGTGGATCTCGAGGTAGCTTCGTTGCCTTTCGCTTGCCTGATATCCTGATAGCCGCTTCTCCCCACTTGCAGTCGAGGCCGTATGTGTGTCCTGCGTGATCTCGGGGCTTGAACGTCTTGCAAGATGGACAAGCCCATTCTCTTGGTTCAATCATTGATCGCAAACATGAACTCGGATCTCTGGTGTGCCTGGGGTCGAACATGTCTCGATTTGATCTGCAAGCCGAACACTTGACCCAATCAGGCATCTTAGACTCGACCCTGCGCTTCCTGGGTGCCTGGCCGGCCGCGGTTGGCACCGCTGCTGCAGCTGCTGCCGATGCTGCCTCAACGGGAGGTGCAACTGCCGCAAGAGGATCTGGTGCCGGCGGTAGTGGTGCCGATGCTGCCGCTGCCGCGGCCGCTGCCGGTCTCTGCCGTCGCTTGGGTCGCCTCCGTGCTGCTGCTGCTGCTCCTGGTGCTTGTTCTTCTTCGCTCTCGCTTTCGTCGTCGCCCGCCGGGAAGAATGTTTGGTGCAATCGCAAGTGCCGAAGTAGATCGTGAATGCCTGTAGCAACCGACTTGGCCATTTCCCATGTCCATAGCCGTGCGTCGTGGGACCGACCGCCTGATATAGTGGCATGTTGGTGACTGCGATCACATTTCAGATTCAACAGCGGTCTGATCAACAGGTAGTGCGATGCCCAAAATTCGGTGGGCTTTAACAAGTGTAAGAAGGGAGGTCTGTTCTCGCGAAGGTTGGTCATACACTGATGAACAATGCACCAATGGAGCTGAAGATGATTCCGTATGTAATCCCATTCTGGCATGTTGTACATCTCCGTCGTCTGCGGATGTTCCGATAGAAAATGCCGATGATGTCGTAGTTGGAATTCTGCAACTCTGCCTGCAAGCTTAGCGAGGGGTACGGATGTCCGCCTACTCTGCTTCCAGGTCTCCGGGTTGGTGAACTTGTTCAATGTCTGCCAGCCTGCTAGTCCTGCGCAGGGAACGCTGAGAATCGTGATCAGAACCTTGTTCGATTTGAGATACTGCCAAAGTGCCGCTTCTTGCGTGGGATCCAAGAGATCGATGCCTACAATGATGTCGAAATTGAGCCCGATCTTGGTCTCGTGGAAGCGGTGGATCAGTATCTGTGATGTTCTAGCGTGACCTCCACATATCTCCACAACGTCGATGTAGTGGTCCCTGCTCTGTGAGCTATACTGAGCGGGATAAGACCAATCTGCCATAAAGCTGGTGAACGCGTCGTACTTGAACTGCTTCGGCACGTGGCTGTAGGTCTTGTCGTTGGTGTCTGACCCACTCAAGCCGCGTAGCGAAGAGACAAACACCGAGCAGGTGTCTTGGTCCTGTTCGTCGTCCATGAGCTGGTCCTTGTCGTCGTAGATCTCGGCGCTGGTCTGGTTGAGTGCCCACAACGCCTGCTTGAGACTAGAGTCATCGAGCCCGCAGTCGTCGAAGTGCTGCTCCACCTTGAACTTCTTCTTCTTGCTCGGCGTGGCGTGCGTTGGGTCGATGGCCTGTGCTTTCCGATGCCGTTCTCTTTCTTTAGCCCGAACAGCTGCATCGGTAGGGTATGCCGTGGAATCTTCATCGAGAACGTCGAACATAACTTGGTCGCCACTGCTGTTGTCCGTCGTCCTCGGAGGGGAGTGCGCTGATACCGATGTAGCCGTCGGTGGTGTAACAACTTGCTCTCGTGATGGCTTGTGCTCTGTCTTGAACAACAAGTCAAGGAGGCTCGCGACTGCCGCCGGTGCCTCCGCGTGGTCGATCATGACCGGAGCGCCCAAATCAAAGTTGGCCTCCAGGCGGATGGTCGAGGTGTGACTGCCATCCTGAAGCCGCACCATGGTAGTCTTCAGGCCGCCGCCCTCGTGCTGCTTGCCGATGAAGTCGCTGAAGTGGTGCTGTCGCCAAACTGCCTGCACGCGCTCATTAGCCTCAAGAAGAACCGATCGTTGCTGTGATATCTGCTGTTCGCTGAGCTGGCTGATAAGCTGGAGTCGTCGCCGATGCGATCTCGTAAACTGTCCTGTCGTAGGAGGTCCTGGAACGCATACCCACAACAGAACTGGCCGATGATGATGTAATAACGTCTGCATGTGATTGCTGCTGCTCGCCGTGGTGCGCCGTGAACTATGATTGTAGAGCTGGACCTTGAAGCGCTGACTACATGCATAACTTCGTTGGCTGTCAACGTCGTCAATGATCCAAATTGTGGGTACGGAATTGTCATGCACGGGGGAAGGAGATCTTGGCAGAGATAGAGTTAGGGTGTTGCCGTGCGTCTTGACAACGGCTTGCTCCCTCCGGGGAGCCTCGGCGGGACGCACCGCCGAGCGGCCGACTCCCTAGTGGGAGGTCCTGGCCACGACGTCGCTCTGGTGCTCCGTCGCGTACTGCGGCTCCGCCTTGAAGGTGACCTTCCTCTTGTGCTTGTCGAACTCCGTGCATGGTACCAGCGGGTGTCCACTCATGCTGCTCTCGATCTTCAACGTAGAAGTACCATGAGGTGTGTTAATATATACTCGGCCTGGCCCGCATAAATGTATCTCGTTATTGACCAGGTCGATGACTGCCCGCTGATGTCTCATAGACTTGATGCCCCACAACGCTGGTATTGTGGATGGATCCTCCTCGGTGCCGACGACTGGGGCCGTGTAGGTAGTGTCGCTCTTCACATCGTTCGCGATGACCTTTAGAGGAATCGTGATGGCCCACTCGACGAGTTGGCTCTCCTTGCCGACACCTGACACGTTGATGGGCTTGGGAAGCTTTTGCCACTTCACCTTGTCCATCATGCCTTGCTCGCTCAAGATGTTCAGGACGCGCATGATGAACAGGTTGCCCACCAGATTGTCGTGTGCGCCGGTGTCCACTAGAAGTCCTTCCCGTCCTTCGCCTGGCAACTTCGTCTTGAGGAGGAAGATCTGCTCGTCGTTCAAGTTCGCCGCGTTGAAACTGCTGGTCTCGTCCAGCTCCACGTCCAGGTTCCACCAGGGGAAGAATCTCGCTGATATCTGTTCTCCGTCGTTCGCCGTCTGATCCAAGATGCGAAGCTGATGCAAGATCGATGTATGTTGATGTTCTGCCGCGACTGCCTGCTGAGGCTGTTGGGGATTGAAGCTCCTGGTCATCAGTTCCCGCAGCTGTCGCTCCTGGTGTGTGACGTGGTCCGTGTTGATGTCCGTCGGGAAGCCCATGCCGTCTGCGACGATCTGAGACCATTCCAAGATTGGTGCGTACGTCGCTGGCTCTTCGTGGGGTTCGTGACGCTGATGTTGATGTCCTGCATTAAAGAAATGTTGCTGCATCATATACATGTGCCCGGGTGCCATAGATTGATCCTGTCCGCCTGCTGAGGGAGATGCCGATGCCGATGCCGATGCCGAACCTGCCGCATGCGTCAGGTGATGAAGCTTGGGGCAATTCCTCCGCAGGTGTTCGTCGCTACCGCACTCGTGGCACTTCATCACTTCGCCTGTGACTGGGTCCTTTCTGTTCTTGCCGTGTCCACGGAAGCTGTTGCCCTTCCCCTTTCCACCCTTGAAGTACGTGGGGTCATGCTGCTCTTCGACGGGGAAGTGGCTTGGCTTGCCGAATTGTCGCCGAAATCCTCCTTTGCCTTGTCCTGAGCGCCGACCGTAGTATCGCCGATTGAACCGTCTGAACTTCGTCGTCTTCTTCGTGTAGGCTCTATAACGCTTCTTTATGTTGAGGTATGTCTCGTACAACACCGTCGTGATATTCGTCCTGTTGGCCGGCACTCCAGGGGGAAGGAGACTCGATGCATATGCCTCTATTGCCTCGTCCGTACACTCTGGGTCCTGCTGATCTTCGTCCGACTCCGTGTCGCTGTCGCCAAAGAAATCCTCCATCATGTAGTGCTCATCTGGCGTGTTGACGTACGGGTCGCTCGCGGGGTATGCTGCTTGCTGTGGCATGGCCGCTGCTGCGGCCAAGTTGTCGCCCCAGGCCGTTGTAGCCTGAGGCGGCTCCACGTTTCCGAAATATGACAAGTGTGCCTGCTGTCCAAGATGTGTCGTGTTCGAGTGTACGCCATGCGGATGATGTTCCAAGATATGTGCCTGCTGTCTGATGTGCCGCTTGAGAATGTTCATCTGATCTTCCGTCGTCGGAAGCTGTCCATTCAAAGGAATGAGTAGCTGAGACCACATGACCGGTGCTACTTTGAGTGCTCGCAGTAATATCCACGCTAGTCCTTGTGGTCCCAGCGCGAAGTTCTGCAGGAGGTTCGTCGCCCTGTACACCGTGATGTCGAACCTCGAGAGTGCTTGATCTATCGATTCGCCCTGCATTCTGCTGAAACCCAACAACTGAGAAAGAAGTCTGATGCTTTGTTCTTCGTCCAGCTCGCCGAAACGTCGTATAAGATTCCGCAACAGGATGGTGATGCCTGTCACGTGCAACATCTGCTGCTGTGTGTAGTCCCACTCTTGCCGTCCGTTTGATAACTCATCCACGTTCATCTCTCTGCCCAGGACCCTTGCCATGCCTCCGAGCTGTAGAACTGCGGCTGGTCCCTGTCTTGCGATGGGTACCTCGGTGGCCGCGCTCCACAATATCAAGTCCTGAGCATAGACCCACAACGGGTAGCTGGCCTCGAATTCTGGCGACCACGATGGAGGCGTCTTCGTGTTCGCCATGTCGGGCTGAGGGTGTTGGCCAGGAGTGAACCGTTGGGGTCCGCCTTGCTGCACTGGGGGCTGTCCGCCCTTGCCGCCGAACATAGCTGATACCAAAAAACTAAGGAATATCTGAATTGACTGTCGAGGCCCTCTTTCTCGCACTCTGTACTGTCGAGGCTGTCGCCCGCAGCGCCGGTGTCGGAGATGCTGATGAGCCCGCAGTGGTACTGTCGCCTGGCGGCGGGAGGGGGAGCAGCTCTGCTCCGCTACCACGTGCAGTGGCACGTGATATGACTCCTCTCCTCCCGACAGCGATGGCGGCGCAATGCAGTAAGGCTGTGTTTTCTGTATCGATCACTCGCACAGTACACAACTATGACGCGTCTTGAGCCAGTACATTACAGTACGGGCTGTGAATTCGCCGGGCCCCCGGTGAGCTCTAGAGGGCCCCGAGAGAGGAACGTGTGAGGTATGTAACAACTTACTGAACGAGGTGGACGGGGAGAACAGAGCGAGGTGGAGGAAAGGACGGAGAAGGGAGGTGGAGGAGGGGGGGGGGGCCGAGGAGGACGAGGGAAAATGAAGCGGGGAAGGAGGACACGACGAGGAGGAAGGGAGATGCAGAAGAGGTTCTCATCGCTACCATCTCCCTCTCCGTCCGCCTCGCTCATTCGCTCCCGCCCAAAACAGCAAAGACACGACATCAAGAAAACTCGCAAGTGCACTCCCGCGCAACGGCCGCCAGATGGACCTCCTCCTCCTCCTCCTCCTCCTCCTCCTCCTCCTCCTCCTCAGCGTCATCCTCATCATCCTCATCAGCATCATCAGCATCAGCATCAGCATCGTCATCATCATCATCATCATCATCATCATCATCATCATCATCATCATCATCATCATCATCATCATCATCATCATCATCATCATCATCATCATCATCATCATCATCATCATCATCATCATCATCATCATCATCATCATCATCATCATAATCATCATCATCGTCATCATCATCATCATCATCATCATCAGCAGCAGCATCAGCATCAGCGTCAGCATCAGCATCAGCATCATCATCATCATCATCATCATCATCATCGTCATCATCATCATCGTCATCATCATATCATCGTCATCATCCTCATCCTCATCCTCATCCTCATCCTCATCCTCATCAGCATCATCATCGTCATCATCACCACCATCAGCATCAGAATCAGCATCAACACCAGCATCCTCATCAGCAGCCGCATCATCGTCAGCATCAACATCCTCATCAGCATCATCATCGTAATCATGATCATCAGCATCATCAGCATCATCATCGTCATCATCATAATCAGCAGCAGCATCATCACCATCATCTCAGCATCATAATCAGCATCATCAGCAGCATCAACATCGTCACCATCGACATCAGCATCATAACCATCCTCTGCATCATCAGCATCATCGCTGTCATCATCATCTGGCTCATCATCATCATCATCATCATCATCATCATCATCATCATCAGCAGCAGCAGCAGCAGCATCGTCATCAGCATCAGCATCATCATCAGCAGCAGCGTCATCGTCATCAACATCATCATCATCAGCATCATCAGCCTCATCAACATCATCATCATCATCATCATCATCATCATCATCATCATCATCATCGGCATCAGCATCATCAACATCATCATCGGCATCAGCGAACAAACATCTTCATCATCATCACCACCGTTAGCATCATCATCGTCATCAGCATCAGCGTCATCATCAGCAGCATCATCAATATCATCGACATCTTCATGATCAACATCATCATAGCTATAATCATCACCTTCATCATCATCATCATCATCAGCAGCATCGCCATCATCAACATCATCATCATCATCATCATCCTCATCATCATCATCATCAGCATCAGCAGCATCGTCAGCAGCGGCGGCATCAGCAGCAGCATCATCAGCATTCTCAACATCATCAACGTCATCATCATCATCATCATCATCATCATCATCATCATCAACAGCCGCATCATCGTCAGCATCAACATCCTCATCAGCATCATCATCGTAATCATGATCATCAGCATCATCAGCATCATCGTCATCATCATAATCAGCAGCAGCAGCATCATCACCATCATCTCAGCATCATAATCAACATCCTCATCAGCATCATCATCGTAATCATGATCATCACCATCATCATCATCATCATCATCATCATCATCATCATCATCGGCATCATGAGCATCAGCATCATCATTGTCATTATCATAAACAGCAGCAGCATCATCTCAGCATCATCATCGTCAGCATCATCAGCCTCATCAATATCATCACCATCGTCATCAGCATCACAACCATCCTCAGCATCATCATCATCATCATCATCGTCATCCTCATAGCCTCATCATCATCAGCAGCAGCATCGTCACCATCATCGTCATCACCAGCAGCAGCATCATCAACATCAGCATCATCATCTCAGCATCATCCTCATCATCATTATCATCATCATCAAAATCAAAAAACATCAACATCATCATCATCATCATCGGCTTCAGCATCACAATCATCCTCATTATCACCATCGTCATCCTCATCATTATCCTCATCGTCATCATCAGCAGCATCATAAGCATCACCAACAGAAGCATCATCGTCATCATCAGCATCCTCATCGATATCGTCCTCATCATCATCACCATCAGCATCATCATCATCATCATCATCATCATCTTCATCATCATCATGATACTGCTCATGGTCTTCATCCTCAGTATCACCATCCTCATCATCAGCATCATCATCAGCAGCATCATCATCATCATCGTCATGGCCATCCTCATCTTCATCAGCAGCAACATCATCACCCTCATCATCATCATTACCATCACCATCAGCATCAGCATCACCACCATCGTCATAATCATCATCAGCAGCACCAGCACCATCATCATCATCATCATCATCATCAAAATCAGCATCAGAATCATCCTCATCCCCATCATCAGCAGCAGCGGCATCATCATCATCATCATCATCATCATCATCATCATCATCATCATCATCATCATCCACCACCTATTATGCCTAGCCTCCTACTCTCCTACTCCAACTTGGTGTCTCCCTCCGCCTTCCTCGTTCCTCCTCATCGACCTCAACCTCCTCCTCCTCCTCATCCTCCTCCTCCGTCTCCTCCTCCTCCTCCTCCTCATCCTCCTCCTCCTGGTTTGGCGGTCGAGCTGCAATCCGCACCGCTTCGAGTTCGTTACTCCACCCCTCGGTGCTACGAGAGCCCCCCACCCCCCACCCCCTCCCCCACCCCCCCAACCCACAAAAAAACGCGTTTGCCCAGCGGAGCCGAAGAGGAGCAGAAAACTGTCCAGTCTTGGATCACCAAACTATGAGCGAACGCAACAACAGGAGCAGCGGGCAGAACAAGCATGTGGAAGGAATGAGTCAGGGCGCACTCCAACGGCCGTCAGCCAGAGACAAAAGATTAGCAACAAACTTGCCACGCGCTAATCTTGCAGAGATAAACTCAAGAGTACGCTGTCTGCTGTCGGATTGCCTGCGACAGCCCCGGTCGGCACCAACACTGCGTTGCGGGAGCAGCGACCGTTGCGGTGGTCGCGTTCGCGCTGCAGTGTAGCATGCAAGGTCGTCCCAGGGTCACCCTCGGCATGCTGTCGGGGTGCTCGAACGTACACAGCACGCCTCGTGGCGGGACGCGTCCGAGCACAAGCACTCCGACTCAAAACGAATGCGCGGTGGCCATGCTGGTCGTGCCCCGCCCGTGACGGGGTGGTAATCACGATGTTGTCGTGTTAGCTCTGGCGCTGCCCTCAAAGCCAACAAGCTGGCCCAACGCTGCGCCCAAGCTCACGCCCAGCATGTTCAGGGCGTCCCCAACGGCCGCCCGCTGGAGGCGGCGAAACCGCGCGAGCGTGATGAAAGAGACCCAGGCATGCCAGCATGTAGAAGTCGACTAAATGGCGCATAGTGTATGGACAAGGAGGGCGTCAGCGCAGGCCTCACTCAGCTGGCAGAGTCCGCACAGCCGCCCGCCTCGCTGCTTCGTTCCGCCAGAACCATGGCGCTCGCACTCTCCGCCTCCTCCTCCTCCTCCTCCTCCTCCTCCTCCTCCTCTTCCTCCTCCTCCTCCTCTTCCTCCTCCTCCACCTCCCCCTCCTCCTCCTCCTTCCACCTCCTGATCCCTCCTACACCTCCGCAACATCCTGCCCCGGTCTGAAAGCCACATTGGTATCCACGCCCACTGCGGCGCCTCCAGTATCCACACCCTGAGGCGCCCCCAGCGGGTACCACCTCCTCATCC